CGTTTTTCACAAAAATAACGGTATAATAGAACTGTAGGATAAATTTATATCACCAATCAGCATTAAATATGCGTACAGCATTTAAAATAGGAGATTGAACTAAATGATAAACAAATTGTTTACATTATTCCATAAAATAGCATCGAAATAACAGTATTTACATCATACCCAGCCAAATAGGTTCTAGTAAATGTTGGAATTCGATTGACGTTGCGTTGATAATGTGGTTAGAGATGTCATATTTCATTGATATGCATCAGTAATAGATGATTTTGTATCAGTAATGTCAAAGTCGGAATTTAACTTTTGCTTGTTACTGAGATCAGGAATAAGAAAAATATAAACTAATAGGTAGGTTATCATCGGCTTAAAGTTGCCGGTGCTCTGATTTTTGTCTTTTACTAACTGATAATCGCATGACCTTCGTTTCTCGTGACTGCAAACCACAGCGGTGCTCTGAGATTTCTTTTACTATCTGAAGTGAGAACACATACCATAAAGATTTTCGAAATCTTGAGGTAAATCCAGCGTATATTAACGGATTAGCTGCACTGTTGCAATAACTTACTAAATGGCTTACAGCATAAATAAAGAAGAAAGTTATACGAGTTTGGTTGGTTACTGCTCCGTACGCAATAATAAAGAAGCAAATAAATAATGGTATCCAACACATTATAAATGTGACCGATACTAGTAACATCATTTTAATGGTTTTGCGATTAGCTTTACCATAGGCTCGATTATAGTGAAGATTAGCTTTATTGTTACGTCGGTGTATCTCATATAAAATTAATGAGTATATGCAGACAACAATAAGTAAGGGAGTGATAAAAAGGATGACAAATATCGCAATCGTATAGATTCGTAAAGACTCCATTTGCTGATTTGGATCAGTTGAAAATTCGATACCACATTGGGGGTAACCTGGCACTGATGTATCATATTGAGTGTAAATAATAGAAGGCAAAGCAAACGAAAATGCTATAATGAAAATGATCAAAGTCACTAAACCTTTCTTGCCTTGCTTTGGGTTAGGATTAGCTGCTTGTAGTACAACAAAATAACGATCGATAGCTATAGCTACCATAGTTGTAATTGAGCCTGCTGCAAATAAAAATGGTAGGCCAAGCGTAATACGGCATAAAACTGGACC